CTCTCTCTCTCTCTCTCTCTCTCTCTCTCTCACACACACACACACACACACACACACACACACACACACACACACACACACTCGCACACACACACACACAACAAAAAAAAAAAAACACTGACGATTTGGCTTCCACCTCTCTTGTCGGATCATCTAGCAGGACTGCATTTCTGTCTGCATGCACAAGTTGATCATCAACATCACTTATCCAGTGACGATGAGTCGTCAGCAAATCACAGTGCAATTACGGCAAGATGTGCTCAAGATCTTTGTTGCACATGAAGGGATGGTGATGACGCCAACATCTCATGACATAAGCATGGTTTTCTTCGCAGTTTCTGGTGGGGCCAGGTCCGCCCAGCGCTGCACATTGTGGAGAAACAGGGTCACAAGCGATGGATGGTTCTCTTCGTAGTTTTGGTGGGACCAGATCCGCGCTGCGATACATTGAGACAGGGCCACAAGCCATCCTGATCACCGAGTAGATCCCACAGGCTATCCCGATCACCGAGCAGATCACACAGGCTCTCTCTTCCACCTTCCTTCTCTTCCCTTCACTGGGACGGTCCATTCCACTCTGACAGAAGCGGGTCATCGTTCAGTACCAGATCACATTCTCATCGTCATTAGAAAGTAGCGCAGCAGGAACATGCACACAGAGAATGCCAATGAGATAAAAGATCCACAAATTAGCACCTTGGACTGCAAGGTAGGTCTTAGTGACCCACTACATCTGTTAGTCATACTTCTTCTTGCCTTTCCCATCAGCGCCTTCCTTCTATGTTGCCTTTGAGTTTGACTGTATGGACCTTGCTCCACTACTCACCACATGCACAGAAGACAAAACATTATGGCGGTGCATCTTTCCATGTTATAGAGGAAGATTCATTCCTCGTTTTGCACCATTGTTGACTACAGTGGAGATAGGCCCCATCATTTATGAGAGCTTATTTCCTATCCTCTCCTCGTGCTCTACAACTCGTATATAGAACTAACACTACTCCAAATGTGGGACGAACACGCCGGCATTGTGTGACAAACACAGCGGCATTGTGCCACGACCACGGGGGCTTTCGATGCGTGTTTTTTCTTCTTCTTTCTTTTTTCCCACTTCCACTTGTGGAATGTAGGACATCCACAATTGCATCGTGGTAATTCCACAAGGTGTGTCCTCCACAATTGCATAGTGGTAATTCCACAAGGTGCTTTCTTCCTTCTGGTCTTTTCTCTTTTTAACTCTTGTTCTTGTTCTTGCTCTTTAAACCAGTACTTCCTAGAGTCGTGCCCATTAACGCGCCACAGTCTTACGAAATGTACGGGCCACTACAGGAGCGCCCAAATTCATCCGACTAGAAACGTTTCTACTCTTTTTCTTTTCCGCGGCCTATAGCTGGTCCAAGTACTGGTGGTTTAAACCACCAGCACCAAATTGTAGGCTGAACATCCACAGGTACCAAAATAGCCGGTACCAAAATGGGCGCAGACAACTTAGACATTGAGAGAGCCTCGCCGAACAGTTCAGGCGCTCGATGCAACCAGGACCAAAATGACAATTCCGTTTGTGGCCAAATCGAAAACAGAAACGTTGTGCTGGCATTTCGTCAAAGCTTGTGTGCGCAGAGGAAGCCACCAGCCTCGGATGTACCGGTGGTGCAAGTTATACTCAGCCATACCTATATAGTCTTTTAGTACTCATAATACTGTATATATTAGTCATAATAGTATGATAATACTGTATAATAATGTATATAATCATAGAAATAATCATACATATAATGATATGTACGATCATGTATATATCATCACATAATGA